CTTGAGACAAACCATCCACAGGTGTGGTTTTCCATGAAACCCTCTTACCTGTTTGTTATATTCCTGATACTGACAAAGTAGTACAGGCCTTGCAGCTCATTTCCTAGGGGTCCTTCCTGAGAAGCAAAGGTGATGTTAGGATAGATTTATCTTGTGTTTTGCACCTGATGAGTTTTGTTCCCATCTGATTGACACAATTGTGTTTACTTAGTATACTTGTAATGTAGTGGATTCTTGGGAAAGACTAAAGTGTAATTTCACTTCCTGAAACATAAACAAATGTTTTGTTTGGATTTGTTCCACCTAAAAAGAAATGTATCTCTACCTGCAACTATTTATCCCTACTGGCCAGAAGTTGCATCTAAAATACGTAATTCTGTGTACCACAAGATCTATGTCTGAAAAAAATCACCTTACAATTACAAAAAAAAAACAAAAAAAACCCTGTATCTTCTACAAAAAATGACTTTGACTATAAACATTGATTCGATCCAAGTTATTGGATTTTGCTCAAATATGTGTTTTAATAACTATGGATTAAAAAGAAGCAGTGGTGTCTGAGAGCACATAGGAACAACTTATTCCGGTCAGGGTTTAAAAGGCACAGATATTTTGCTTCCCCTTTAATTCTGTATTTTACTTGGTGACTGGGCAATGTCCTTTTATCACAATTTCACTAAATTTAAGCATCAAACAGAGCACACATCCAGCGAATGTATTTCCACCTGCATTTCTGTATTCATTTTAGGGTCTCTTTAAAAATAGTCTGCAGAGCAAGGAACTCTTGGAAAACCATAGGCATTTTATCATCATATGATAAGTATGTATCTACTTCAATTGCGTTTCAGATAAATAAATAAATAAAAAATAAAAAGCCCCAAATATTGTCTTTGAGTGCACTGATTATTTTGTACTTACAATTATTTATTGTATTAAAGCTATTCGTTAAATTTTATATATCACAGTGCACTAAAATTATTTTGTACTATAAAATTGTTTAATACATGGCAATCAAATTTAATTGCATCCTGTAGGTTAGCTCCCAATTCTAGGTGAAGGCATTTTCTAGTGGTTAGGCCTTTTTCTCCTATGCTGGGAGTCTATACAGGGATAGTGAGTTTCACAGCTAAGCTGTACCTGATGCAATCGGACAAGATGCAAATGTTTTAAATGAACAAAAAAATGTAACAAATAGAGGGTAAAGAACCCCAAATCTGTTCTGTCTATGGAAATTCTGAGTTTTGAAATTTTTGTCAAATCCTTACTCTTGTCCTAACTGATATTGTCTTTACTCCTCTCATTTTTACACTTTTTATATTAAATAGTAGATTATGCATCCAGAGGACAATGAAACTTCCAAACCTTTGGCTCATAAATGAGTTTGAATTTACAAATTTCCCAAGATTGTGTACAGATAAGAAGCAAATGGATCTAATTCATCAGGTTCGGTGAATGCTTTACATAAGTGTGCCATCTCACTCCAATGTTATATACTATATATTATATAGATAGACAGGTGTACACACACAAACATATTAGGATACTAAATGGAGGCATATGTTTTTTATTGTCAAGGTAATGTACAGAGGAGTTACAGTTATATAAGTAAGGTAACAAGTACATTGCTTGTCAAACTTGGTATCCCTTCCCTCATTTTTCTTCTACTTTCCCTCCCCCGCATCATTTCCAACATATTGTCTTCTGTATATCACTGCTGCATTGGTTCCCCCTTATTCTTTGTTTCACCATTCTGTTGTTCCCCTTCCCTTTCCTAATTCGAATAAACATATATACAATACCAGGGTACCAAAATCAAATACAGTGACAACAGAGGATATACCTTAGGGGGAAGAACATACAAAAACCCCAGAAAATCACATTGTACATTAAAAACAACAACAACAACAAAGAAAAACCTCCAACATATGTTTCCATATCTTGGAGTTCATTTCACATACAATCATCTTATATGGTCATATGCATATAGCTATTGAACTATTATGCTCATCTGATAAGATTATCCTAGACATATACTAATTACTGCAAATAAGGGAAACCATGGACATGTTTCTTTGGGTCTGGCTTACTTCACTTAATATGATTTTTTTCAAGTCACTAAAGCTATCGCAACATTATTCACCATAACTAAGATATAGAACCAACCCAGGTGCCCCTTAGTATATGAATAGATCAAGAAAAGGTGAGATATATATATATATATGCATATATATATATATATGGAATTTTATTCTCCCATTAGAAAGAATGACACCACCCCATTTGTAAGGAAATGGAAAGATGAGGCACACGGTTTTGCAAGCTCAAAACGTCAACTTACAATAGTTATTGAGTATGGATCGAGTAATACCTTAGTCAGGAGATGTAGTACATATTTGACATTTGCCTTCTTTCTGTGCCTTCTATTCTCTCACAATTGGGCTGTTTCAGCAACAGGACCTCAATCTCCTACTCCCTAAGAGTATCAGAACCACATCAACTGATTCTCCAGGTCAGTATTCTAATGCTGTCACACAATGTATTCCTATCTTATTCCCCATAAAAAATCTCGACAGCAATATAATACTTGCTCCTCGTAGTTTTTGTGCAAATGAACTATGAATGGTGGTAATCTTAACTATGAGAACTGAATTAGCAGAGACCATGGATTGACTCGCCCCTTTGGGCTAGGGAAAGTTTACTTTTCACAGTACTTTTGTTGGGTGATCTAGCTCTAAACATGAGTAGCAAATGCAGCCACCAAAGAGAAGGGGGAACAAAGAGATGATATGTAACTGCTGGATTATTCTTGCGTATTAGTGGAGTACAGCAGGTATCTGTGACATTCTAGACCACTATACGTTCCCCTGGGCAAGCATCGCCTCTGAAATCATTGAAGTTCTTTGAAGTGTTTTGTGGGTCCCAGAGCATTTGTGTTTTAGGGACGCTGCTTAGGAGTGCAATACAAGATGCTCCACTAGAAAGTCAGTGATTGCCATTCTCAAGATGTTCTCCATCTGCTCGAATTTATTTCACACAGTTTTTAAAATAGCATATGACATCCGCTCTTTCATTCTTGTCCCCACCCTGTTTAACACCACCAATTCTCCTGCTAGTCAGTCCTTCTTGCATAAGTACACATCTCTAGGAAACCTCCCTGCCTATTTCAGTCCACATTCAATGAACACTTTCTCTAAATTCTCAGTGCATTTCTAATTTATGTACACATCACACTATGCTAACAAAAATGGCTCTGAAAAAAGGTCATTCCATGTGGAAATTTACATAGCTAACCATCAATCCTACTAGATTTTCTTGCAATGTCACATATCTACATGTATCTATCTATCTATCTATCTATCTATCTATCTATCTATCTATCTATCTATCTATCATGGGAAGAATAAGACCAAGGGTGAACTCTTTTAACAATGATTTCTATTTGTGCACACACATCCCTAAAGAGTTACAAAATCTGTTATTCTATGACTACAGTCGAACTGGTAGTAACAGCTCCAGAGTACCAACGACTCGATTCAGTGTGCAGGAAGTAGTCTTTAGATTTTATAAAGCTAAAACATTGTTTTAGAGAGAAGAACAGGACATACGGTACAGATAACTACATTAAACTTTTATTAAAGATAATTTCAGAACTGAGCCTTAGCCTTAAATCAATTAGATTTTTCGAAAGGCACCTTTATAAGTAGAAAATGTCAGGCAGTTCATGTATTTCATAGAAATGAAAATCCCATGATTTTTCATGACTGGGACTATGTAGAGTCTTGGGGGATATCACCAGTTACATTCGCATTATTTCCTTGGAGCTTCCAGTTATTTCAGCAACCCTTTAAGGAACATCAATTGTAACACACACACACACACACACACACACACACACACACACACACACACACACACACAGTGCAAGGAGCTACGGTTCTAATGCTAAAATAAACTCCTAGCACCAAGGTACTTGAAGTCTAATAGCAAAATCATCACCGGAGAAACAAGCATGTGAAGGCGTATGTCATATTTGGTTTTGTGTACCCTTTAATTGGTTAGACATCTACCCTTCCCCCAGTGAAGAGCCTCCCACAGCAAGGAGGGACGTGGGGAGTTCTGACACAAGACCAGCGCAGCGGGACAGTTCGATCAGAGTCTAGGGAAGGGGCAGCGTCTGCGTGGTCAGGGGCTCGCAGGCGATCTGGAGTCAACTACCCTGACAAAATGGGCTCTGGAACGGCTTGAGTTCCTGGGAACATGGGTAGAGAAGGGGAAAAAGACCCAGTTTACTGGGTTAGCACCTTGAGATTGTACCCATTTAGCATCTGCAAACGAATCATAATAAAATGAAAAATAGACATTCCCAGAGGTCAATCTCTGTGCGGGACCATAGGGATCTGGGGTCCCTCTTCTCTTCTCAAAGGGACAAAAGGGTCTTAATGAAGAGATATTTTTCCCCAGGAAGATTCTAAAATCCCAGTGGGTCCACTCACTCCAGGGTAGAGAAACCACCCTCAGGCAGGCACAGGGAGGACTGTGTGGCGGGACTTGCCAGCGCTGGGACCCTGAGTGGCCTCCGCGCCCCCTCCCTTCCTCCCCCACCCCCCCGCGCGTCCCCGATCCTCCGCGGGCTCGCTCCCAACGGCGCGCGATCCCGCGCCCCCGCCCCCGCCGGCGCCGCGGCGCGCACGGGCCGGCCGGAGCGCGCACCCGCGCTCGGCTCCGCTGCGCTCGGCACCGCTGCTCTCCGAGCGCTCAGACCGCGGCCGCCGCAGCCCGCGGAGGACTCCAACTCCGGCCCGCCGGCGTGCGCCCGGGTCCCCGCGCCGCGCGCAGCCCGCTGTCCTCCGACCCTCTGAGCGCTCTCAGTCTCTCCCTCTCTCCTCCGCTCTCTCTCCTATCTCTCTTTCTTTCGCTCGCTCGCTCACACACACGCGCGATCTCACTCCAATCTGTACGCTGGAGGATTTAAATAAATACACACAAGGATCCGTCCTGCGCGCCCCCTCCCTGCCCACCCGCGCGGCGAGGGGACCCCGGGCCGCCCGGCCATGCTAACCCTAAAGCGCTTCCTCGCCGGCCTCCAGCTGCTGTGCGTTTGCCGCCTGGGTGAGTGATGACACCTCGCTGGGGTTTCCCCTCCGGGGTCCGCGGGGAGCGTCTGGGGTGGTCTTTCTTCCTCTTTGCTGCTGGCAGACGCCGCCATCAAGAGCAAGGTGGAAAAGTGGGGTGTGTGTGTGTGTGAGGGGAACCGCCACCTCGGATCCCGCATCCGACGGGGCGGCCGTCCCGACGGGTGTGAGCGGCTTGGGGAGGGATGGTTCCGCGCCCTCTCCCCAACGCCAGAGTCACCGCGTCCCCTCTGCCCCGAGGGGATCCGTGCCCCGGATCTCGCTGGAGAGACGGTTCAAAGGGAGAATGCCTGACTCCCTCCCCCCCAGCCCCAACCACACACCGACCGCTTGCCTTTTTTAGTCTTGGGCAAAGTGTGTAAAAGCAGCCTTTTTAGATGTACAGGAGACGATCAGTAAATAACCAGATACCGTCGAGAGGAGGGGGCTCCCTGTTGTACTGAGGGCTTTCGGTTTTTGTTTGTTTGTTTGTTTTCTGCTCGTTTTGAAGCCAGGAGTATTGCCTTAGGGGTTTAAGTCGGAACACACGTGTCTGACGCGAATGAATTGCACACGGACACCTGAAAGGTAGTTCTAGCCACAACAAGCAGCGCCCTGACTTTCCAGTGTTGGTTGTGGTTTTTATTTTTTTATTTCTTTTTGTACTTTTAGTTTATTCATTCAAGTCCAGGCAGTCTCTCGCGCACACACACACACACACACACACACACACACACACACACACACACACACACACACACATTTCCATCAGAACCTCTATCAATATTCTTTCTGCTCCTGCTGCGAGAGTCGACCCGCAGCAGCAGGTTGATGTATTTGTTCAGTGGCTCCGCTTTTGTCTAGCACCTTCCAGGGTTACACATTTAAAACTGGCTTTGCGTTCTGAAGTAGCCACTTTGAGTATTCACCTGCAACACAGATTTCAAGCCTCCCACAGTTGTTTGGTTGTTGGTTTTTTTTTTTTTTTCTTCAGAAGGATGGAAAGACATTTTTTTCTTTTTGCATTTTAAGGAAGAAATGGCTCTTTTCTTCCCTAAAGCTTTTCAATTTGAATGGGAAGCAGTGTATGCTTTGGAGACATGAACCTAGTGATGAGAAAGGTGCCTCAGTATAAGTGTTTCGCTCTTTGCAGTGAGAATAACCCTGCTAAGTTTGTATTTAGCTCATAATAACGTATTCAACCCGCGTTTTGATGCATGGGACCTCGCATGGAACAGTGGCCTGTACAAGCAGAAATTATTTTCAAGTTACAACCACAGGGAATTGTATCACAAACATGGTGATAATTGCCCACTACCTTCATTGATAGGACATTCTAAACGTCTTGTGGAAAGCGTGTGGAGCTAATGTGACATAGAGAAGGCAGGTGGCCTAGGTAAAGTTTGCAGGAGAACCTGTTGTCCTGTCCTGGTTGACTCCAGACTTTACAGGTGATTCTGGAAAGGAGGTTACACTTCTGTTTGAAGTCATCAAATACACACCTGTTGAATTTACATTTCTGCATTCATGTATGTAGCCAACAAAGCCAGATCTTCTAGATACTGAAATTATTATTTGAATAAATCTCACAGTGTTAGAGAAACAAACCAAGTATTGTTTATAAACCTCATCAAAGCCACATTACATAAAATATGTTACGTATACGTAGAGATAAGAATTCATACAAAAATATATGTCATATATATTTTTCTTATGGAATTGTACAGTTCAGTGATGTTCAATACATCCACAGTTGCACAACCATCACTATTATCTAATTGCACAGCACTTTAGTCCACTCCAAATGAAACCCCATACTCCATCTCCCTGATACCAGGTTCTGGGTACCATAACCTACTTTCTGTCACTATAGACAGATGCTTATAATCAAGTAATAGGTTTTTTCCTAGTTGTATTTACTTACCATATTTTTAATGTTCATTCATGTTTTAGCATATAACCATACTTCATTCCTTTATATGGCTGAGTAATATTCCATGTATAAATGCTTCATATCTGGGAATTTTCTCTCTCAGAAAAACATTACTTCTGGCCTATTTTTATTTGCAGAGCATTCGGTTTATTTTTTAACTCTTGAATGATATAAAATTTAAAGGAAAGAAATTTATTGTTTTCAGGCTATCCCAAGCCTCTGTAATTATGAAGAACGTAAGCCTATATTGGAACCAATGTACTTTGTTGTTATTGTTGTTGTTATTGTTTTGAGGCTGAGTGATAAATACTTTTGTAATTCTCACTGTTTACCATCTGGACAACAGACTGACCTGGAGTTATTTGCAACATCAAGTTAGCACAACATATTTTGGAAAACGCAGGCATATTACGTACAAGAGAGAAATTCAGCCTCTTCTCGATTATTTTTTCTTTTTTTTTTTTTTCGATTATTTTTTCTTAAAAGCTGAGATTATTGTTTATTTGAGTGGTTATTTCTTGTGCTCATTTTCCTTGTAGCCGTGAGGGAGCATGACACACTTACTTGTGTTCCGTGAGGTCTGAGGACTGACTGAACCTTGCTTTGAAGGGTGACATCTGTGGTACACTTTGGTGACTGTCCTTATCATCAACCAGGAACAGGTTGAGTTTGCTGACATGGTGGTCATTGTTGGTGATTGTGAGTGTCTGTGGCAGGGTAGTGTCACTTTTGTGCCTCCTCCGCCCCCATCCTTATTATTTGCATTGGGAGAACAGACCAACTGCTTTTTTCAAGCAATTCTAAACGGGTAGAAAATATCATTAGAGGGGCTGGGAAGGTGGCTCAGTGGTAGAGCGCTTGCCTTGCATGCATGAGGCCCTGGGTTCGATTCCTCAGCACATAAGCAAAAAGGAAAAAAAAAGCCAGAAGTGGCGCTGTGGCTCAAGTGGTAGAGCGCTAGGCTTGAGCTGAAGAGCTGAGGGACAGCGCCCAGGCCCAGAGTTCAGGCCCCACGACCAGACCCCCCCCCCCCTCAAAAAAAAAGAAAATATCATTAGAAAATGTAGACTGGAACACATCCTTTTTTCCTCCACTGAACAGCGGTAATACAAGGGACAGACTGCCATGACTTTCCTGTAAGGAGGCCCAACTATGAGTCACAAAGCAGAGTGAGGTGTTTTCACAGCTTGGAAGGAATCATTTCTTTCACTAATGTAAACTGGGGATCCTTGTATTAAATGATCTACAGTGTTACAAGATGCACCAAATTCAAGTGTTTAAAATATTTTGGCTAAATATGCACGGAATCAGATTCTCAACTTCTGTAGTTACATCTTATTACTTTAGGAACCACATTAAATACGGATCATACTTAAGGCTTCTTCAATAATTTATTACCTCACTTATTAATACTGCATATGGATTTAATGGAACTCAATAGATTGTGAATTTCAGCTTGACCAGTTTATCATCCAAAACCAGATCATTACTACAAATAGAAAATAGTCATGTTCCCCACCACCACCAGCTCTTCTCAATTTAGACAATTTTGACGAGCAGAGTAACAGTGTTCTTTATTTCGTTCGTGCTCATTCTTATGCACACTGTGGTTATTTTCACCCAGGGAAATTTGCCAGGATAAATCATTTCATTGATGAATTCGTTTCTGCTCTCATGTCTGCACTAGAGATCAAGACTCTTGCTTAAAATTTTATGAGGTGTGCTATGCGCTGGTGACTCATGCCTGTAATCCTAGTCATTCAGGAGGCTGAGAACTGAGGATCAAATTTTAAAAAGCTCAAAGCAAAGCTGTGGCTCAAGTGGTAGAGCACTAGCCTTGAGCAAAAGAAGTTCAGAGACAGTGCCCAAGCCCTATGGCTGCCACACGCGCACACACACACACACACACACACACACACACACACAAATATTATGAAGTATATTTTCCCCATCTCCCTCATTCAAAAAAGATTTGAACTACATCTAGCATGACAGCATTACTTGACCATTATTTTGCCAACTTCTCCGGTGGTAATGTGGAAATGGAGCCCCTCAGTTGAGACCAGAGAACCTCAAAAGGATTTAACAAGATGAGCTTGTACTTCATTTCTACCTGCCAACCACTTGAACATTTGCATACTCCTGGTGCTGACATTATATACCTGTTTTCTCATTTCATTTTTCCCTCAAAACCTTTAAGGCAGAAGTTTTCAGTCTAAATGTTTCACAGAAGAGGGAGCAAGGGGTGCAGAAAAGCCAAGTGATTTTTCTAACATTACACATAGCCTGTGTCTACGTATATCCTTTTGATCCCAAAGGTTGAGAGATTTTCATCTTTTCTTTCCCAGAAGATCAGTCTGCTGCTTAGAATTTACTAATTTGCTTTCCATAAGGCATGATACTGCACTTGACAGTCTTGTTGCTTTCATGCAGGGATCCTCTGTGGCTTTCTCCATATGTTTCTATGTTACACGTTTTTCCTTTTTGAAATTTCAAAGCATTACACCTCCTTTCTTACATGAAAATTTGCTGCCATATATCAACATCATCTTGAAAGTTTTGGCAAATTCATACAGTCATGTCAAGACTACCATGATCCAGGTACCAAACAGCCACATTCTGGCCACTGTCATGGCTCCGCCAGTGCACTAGGCACTAGAAGTCAACCACCATGTGAATGTACAGTCCTAATACTCAAGATGCTTGCCATCTAGCTAACCTCATCTAATAGCCACAGTGAAGACCTTCTTCAGGTCTTTAAGATTTTTTTCCATCCACAAGTAGTTGTGACTGTCTTTCCCAACCTCATTTAATTATTAAATGTATTAACTATTGAATATTTTAAAATACTTCACCCTCTATTAGGAATTCTAATGGTGGATAGGTGGGAGACATGGCTCAGAAGAGCACCTATCCAACAAACATGAAGTCCTGAATTCAAACTTTAGAACTGAGAGACATAGAGACATAGACAGAGTGAGAAATAGTTAACCAAACAACCAATCAAATTAAACACCAACTTAAACTAGACAGCTATATTTCAATTTTGCTTTGACTTTAAATGT